TTTTTTGTGTTTGAATCACGGCGCTACAGGAGGGCACTTCGCCTGTTAGGGCCGTCCTTCCTCCTGTATCCATACCATTTATTTAAGAATGCACACCACAGAGTTACATTGTTACACTAACGTTTAAGAGCATTCGCTCAACAAAAAAGAGAGGGCCCTACCCCCGGCGCACATTTAGCTAACTTAATTAGTTGCGATTTACAATCTGGTTTCGCTGCCGCTCTCCTTCCTCCTTTTCCCTGTTGGACTGCACTTGATTCACGAAGTCCCTTACCGCGTCCCAGTTTCTTCTCCTCTTCAGCATACATGGAATTATGCGTTCCRGGGTCACCTCTTCCTCGAGCTCCACCTCCAGGGCTCGTCTCTGCCTCCACCACCTGTCGCATTTGAAGAACACATGCTCCGCGTCGTCCACGGGATCTTGGCAATCCACACATGACGAGGCTTCGATCTTMCCGAACCTTTGAAGGTACTGCCCAAAACACCCATGATTTRACAAGAACTGAGTCAAATGGAAGTCCACCGCTCCGTGCTTCCTGTTCCTCCATGCATTGACGTCTTTAATGAGTCTTTGCGTCCATCTTCCATTTTCTCCGTTTGTCCATTCGACCTGCCATTTCTCCATTACTGCTGCTCGGGTCTCTGTTGACACGCATCTCCCGTCCGGTTCGTGCCTGCGCCTGTACGCCTCCGTCYTCTCCCATGCTAGCAGGTGGGCCGGTATCAGTCCCGCTATCAGCAATACCGCAGCCGTCGATACTGTGCGATACGCCATTGCGACCCTTAAGGCAATCGCCCTCTGAGGCCTTTCCAGGGTTTCTACATTACCTCTAAACACCAGTGCCCCAGCCCATATTGGCGAAGCGTATAGGAGCTTGTTCGTCACCACCGTGGAAAGTAAGGCCCTCTTCTTCTGCCCCGATCCTCCAACGTTAGGCATAAGTCTAGATAAAGCAGTTGCCGTTGCCTGTGCTTTGCSCGCCGCCGCCTTCACGTGCGCCTTGAAACCGAGCACTTTATGGAGTACCACTCCTAGATATGTGATATTTTCTTTAAGCTCTATGCGATTGCCCATAACTTTAAGCTCTGGCAGTCTGTACCCTCTCTTCGTGGTCAACATCACCGCCTCCGTCTTCTTCGCAGACAGGGTTAGGCCGGCACCCGTCATCCATTCTGAGACTCTGCTCAAAGCCTCGTTCGTTACCGACTCGAGCAGCTCCGTTGTGCGGCCCGTTGCCACTACCGCCACGTCGTCGGCGAAGGCCACTAGTTCGGTGGACGAAAAACCACGTTCGTTCCCTCCTGTGTCCACTCGTAGGAGTTCGTCATACATGATGTTCCACAAGAGCGGCCCGAGAACGGACCCTTGTGGAACACCACACGTGGTGGGCCTTGTGTTYCCTCCATGTTCCACCGTCCGGTCGCACAGATAGCTCTGGATTATCCCGATGAGATAMGGGGGCATTTCCTTGTCGTTCAGAGATTCAACAATTTTTGGCCACTTTGCAGAGTTGAATGCGTTAGCCACGTCCAACGCGACTACTGCGCATAGTTTCCTGTGGTAGAGCGGCCCGGAACCAACTGCTTCGACGACACTCTGGACGCGTTTAATAGCATCGACTGTCGATCTTCCCTTTCTGAACCCATATTGTCTGTCATTGAGGTTGCCCTGTTCTTCAAGCCACTTTTCGATCCTGGTCTTAATAACACGCTCGAACAACTTGCCCGCTGTGTTGAGAAGGCAGATGGGCCTATAGGACGTAGGGTCTTCAATAGGTTTATCGCCTTTTCTGAGGAGGACGAGCCTCGCCGCTTTCCAGGAGCGTGGAAATACCCCGTCCTTGAGGCATTTATTGAAGACGTCTCTCAGGATCTCCGGCCTTGCCCTGGCGACTTCCCTGATCACCAGGTCGGGCACACCGTCAGGACCAGGCGCTTTTCCATTTGGGATTCTTTTGCGAAGTTCTTCGATCTCGACACATGTTACCTCCGGGAAGACGTAGCTCTCCGTGCATGGCGGCCAAAAGGTGACTGTCTCCCCTGGGAAGAGGGCATCAATTATGGACTCCGCTCTTCCTGGCACTGAAAGACCTGGGATTGGCCTTCTGCCTACCAGCTTCTTTGTGACCAATTTGTATGGTAGGCCCCATGGATCGGATTCCACTTGTTTGCACAAGTCATCCCAGCTAGCCTTTTTACTTTTCTTGATGGCCACCTTCAGTTCTTTCCTTGCCAACTTGAATTCTTCCTTCCTCTGTTCGTGGTCCATGGGCGGTTGGGAGCGTCCCCTCTTGAATCTGCGTCTGGCTTTATTGCATACCTCACGCAGTCTGGCGATGTCCTGCGTCCACCAGTAGGCAGGTTTCTTGCCTCCCCTGTACCTACCTTTYGGCATACAACTGTCGCATGCATCCTTCAGATATTGATCTAGCCTACCCGTTGCCGTCAGCGTGTCATCGCCCATTTTGAAGCTGGCCGAGTCAATAAACCTCGCTAATTTTGAGTAATCATATTTTCGCCATGACCACCTAACCTCGGGGGGAAGGCGCTCCGAGTGCGGTATTCCTTTGATGCTGAAGGTTATGTAACTATGTATTGATGCACTGTACTCGTCCAATGTCTTCCAGTCCTTCACCAAGTGACTGCTTCTGTCGTTGACGAACGTAACATCAATATGCGACCTCGATATTCCAGCGGCAWATACTCTTGAGAAGGTTGGTTTGTCGCCGCTATTGCAAACCGTAARACCAAGGCTAGCAGCCATGTCCGCTAGTGCGCGACCTTTTGGCTCCTCCGTATGGTMGCCCCAG